ATGACGAAGTTCTTGTCCTGTTACCGGATAAAACAAATTTTCTGTTGGACTGCTGGAAAGGACCATTTACAGTGGTTAAGAAAATTTCCACGGTTGATTACTTGATCAATGTTAATGGAAAACTGAAGGTTTACAACATAAATATGATCAAGAAGTACATGACCAGACCAGCGAATTTGGAGGGTGTTATTGACTCTGTGAATGAGGAGGAGATTAATGCACATGATAATAACTCAAGAAAGGCTGGGTTTTGCCATGTGGTGGAGGAATGTATGGAGGAGGACAAGTCGGATGTTCCACTGAAGATGGAATTACCACCATTAGTACCCAAGGAGTCCTGGAAGGATGTACAGGTGTCCTATGCACTACCAGGAGAGAAACGGAGTCAAATTCTGAGAATGCTGGCCTCATTCGAGGATATTTTATCTGACATACCGGGCGTCACCACAAAAGCAGTCCACTCCATTGAATTAACCGATTGTCAACCTGTTAAACTCAAGCCATATCCGGTATTCCTTCACTATCAATCGCAAATAGACAGGGAGATTGATGACATGATTCGGTTGGGAGTGATTGAACCATCGACGTCCGCCTACTCTTTTCCTATAGTGCCTGTGAAGAAGAAGGACGGAACGTTAAGGATCTGTATCGACTTCAGGCGCCTCAACCGCATTACAAGGATAGACGCAGAAACGATACCAAATATGGAGGACATGTTTAACACTTTGGCTAATGCGAAATATTTCACTAAACTAGACTTAGCAAAAGGTTATTGGCAGATACCGTTGGCGGAAGAAGCAAAAAAATATACCGCTTTCCAAACTGTCAGGGGTTTGTATCACTTTCGATTTCTTACTTTTGGGCTTTGTAATGCTCCTGCCACCTTCACAAGGATGGTGAGGAGATTGGTTCGTGATCGTAGTGATATAATTCATTATTTGGATGACATTCTCCTGTTTCATGAGGACATCGAAGCACATATACAAGGGTTGAGAAGCTTGTTGGAGCGCATCCGGTCGTTTGGATTGACAGTCAGACCAACCAAGGTAGAGGTTGCAGTCGAGGAAGTGACGTTCCTTGGTCATGTCATAGGCAGAGGGGTAAGAAAACCCGTTCAATCCACTATTCACGGGTTTCTGAACCTTCCTGTCCCTAAGACTAAAAAGCAAGTTCGAGCATTGCTGGGTTTGAGTAATTTCTACGCAAAATTCATTCCCCATTATGCCACCATCACGTCTGTGTTGTCTGATCTGACTAAGAAGGGAATGCCAAACAAGATATGGTGGAACGAACAATGTGGTGAATCCTTGAGACAATTACAAAGTGCATTTAATAATTTACCATTGTTGCGTTTACCTAATTTGAATGTACCCTTTGGTATTTCATGTGATGCCTCTGATGTGGGAGTGGCCAGTGTCCTCGTACAGGAGTTCCGAGGTACATGGCATCCAGTCCTGTATGCCAGTAGGAAACTGTCCCCAGCGGAGACACGCTACAGTGTGATAGAACGAGAGTGCCTGGCCATAGTGTTTGGGGTCAACAAGTTCTCCAGGTTTTTGTACGGTAACCATTTTACTATCTTCACTGACCATCAACCACTGCAGGCATTGTGTTCGGGAGCAGTGAAGAATGCCAGGGTGCTTAGATGGGCGCTGATGCTGCAGCCATACCACTTCACTGTCCACTATGTCCGAGGGGAGGAAAACGTGATCCCAGATTTCCTATCAAGGACAACTGTGTGACTAGGTTTTTCTGGTCTTGTTATTTTGAGGCATAGTAATGTACCTAACATGCTTAAGATTATGTGTGAAATATATTATTCATATTGTGCATGTTATGTAAATTATGAACTGCATATTGCCATGTGTTGAGCACGGCGGTCCTGTCTCGAGCAAACAGAAACAAATGGTGTCTGTTTGCTGGAGGAAGGGGGGAATAAGCTGTTGTGTGCAATATATGGGAAGGGAAGTTCATTGTTGAACGTGGGACTTGGTGCGGTGCGCACACATTGAACGTGATGTAGAGAGAGAGAGAGAGAGAGTGAGTAACGGTGGACTCTACTACGCTGTGTAGGAAGCCTGTTCTAATCTGGATGGATCCAGGCTGGTCCTGCATAACTGTGTTACGCTGGCGGTAGGGTACGGGCTGTCTGTGAGTGTTGTTACAGCGGTCGCGCCAGCGTGACAGACGCTCGTGTGGCCGCAGACGAAAGGTCTGGACAAGTTTCACAATGTACTGTGCATCGGCCTGTATGATTCTGCTATGACAGTGTACCCAAGGGATGATTGTGATAGAGGTAGACACATAATCACGAGCAGTGGGTTTGCACGAGCAGGTAATGTTTGCTCGTTGTTGACCACGGAACAGGGTGGCAGTAGAAGTAGCCCAGAGCGTCCGGAGTGTGCGTCGCCTTGATAAGGAGGAATGACCGTGGTGGTGTAACGTTTTATTCTCGTGATGCCTTTCATTGTTTTGGTGTTGAAATTAGAAATACATTAATTCTGTTTGACGTTCAACATGTATCCGGCGTCCTTATTGCTGTTGGGCGGGAATGGTGACTTGTTACTGTAACACTATTTAACATACCATGGATACTTGGCAAGTGTGCGTTGTATCAAGCGAACATTCGCACACGTCAGGCTTCCTATTGGTTAAAAAGTAACCTGCAGTCCAATGTAGGGGATGGGAAAGCCACTGATATTAGGGCTGTCATACATCTGCCGTTCAGATATACTTATGATGTACTTGATATACTCACAAAATTGAGGAATTATGGCAACCCTATTGATGTGCAACATAAGATATAATTCACCTTTGCAGATATAGAAATTGCCAAGAGTTTTTTTTTTTTTTTTTTTCAGCTGCAAATTTGACAGACAGATTTGAATACCTTTCAGAAATATGGCAAGTGCATTCAGACTTGATCAGCATTACAAATCCTTCATTATTTTCCAAAGGATTAAGGATTATATGCCATTCAACAGGAGTAGAATAACAAGACTAGTATTCACAATGTACCTTGTGACAGCCATAGTAAAAATTATTAATAGCATAGTGTATATTTTCACTGTCAGTAAAGTAATGAATTTATTCACTTGGAAGGACAGCTGTGCATTAAATTGTTTATTTACTTGCTGAAGTGGCCATGTTATTGTTGGCAACTTTCCTTCGCTCCAGACAAAATGTTCCACTGTCCCTCTGAGTGGGTTCTGGGGCCCAATTGGGTGGAGGGGGGAATAGTCACAATACACCCTACCCTAATACCCCCCCCCCACACCCCTTTCCCCAACATCAAAGGCCTCTAATTATGTGTTTTATTCAAGGTCAAAGCGCATCATAACTGAGAAGCAAAGAAGCAATAGTCTTTCATACAAATGCCAGATCTGTAAAACGGATATACAAAGCTCTAGATCAACTCCAAAAGTAGAAAAACAATCAGAGCTTTCCTCCAAAGTTTACGGCATTGAACACAAAGAAGGAGGAGCAGAAGAAGATGTTCCATTGAGTGATTTAGAGGCATGGGAATCACATCCTACTGTGAAACCAGTTTGGACCAGGAATGAAGTTCCTCCTCCACATAGCACAAAGCCTGGGCAGTATTGCAGAGAACATGTGTTGCCCATGCAGAATAACCCCTCAGTTGGCCTGCTTTATTAATGCCAAAGGAAGGATCTTCTTTTTTTCCTTCGTCTAAGTGACAAAAATGTGTTGTGCCTGTTTACAGCAGAACTGCTATATTTGTGCCTTTCGGCCGACACATCCAACTTAGTCAGATGGTTGGTGGTTAGCTCATCTCTAGAGGCCACCAACTCTGATCCCCTGCCAATTTGGACAAGTCACAGAGGTGAGCCATAATCCTTGGCGCACGATGGGGACATGTGGCAGAAGTCTTGCTTGATGATCCGTAAAACCATCCAAGAGCCAGTTGACACATCACATCTCAGGCCTGTGATCGATATCACAGCACCACCAAAGAAAGGATAACACTAATACTTTTGATTTGAAGCATGCTACAGAAACTGCTGGATCAGAATAACAGTGCTCTGCCTGTCAGAGCTTTCCTCCTTGACCAGCTGCCAACCAAGACGATGGGCCACTGTTTTAGAATGTTTATGTACTTATTGAAAGAAACTTGACATGCACTGTCATTTTTTCCTCTTTTCAACCCTTTCATCCTAATTGCTGTGCACATCTCTAGACCTTTTCAATCATCATCAGTTTCTTCTGCTGCTGTTGCTTCTGTTACTGTTTCTGTTTCTTCTTCTTCTTCTTTTTCTTCTTCTTCTTCTTCTTCTTCTTCTTCTTCTTCTTCTTCTTCTTCTTCTTCTTCTTCTTCTTCTTCTTCTTCTTCTTCTTCTTCTTCTTCTTCTTCTTCTTCTTCTTCTCCTCCTTCTTCTTCTTCTTCTTCTTCTTGGCACATTGTGTTGTGGTTTACAGAACTCATCCAATGTCAGTAAATCCATAAATAGTCACCCTTTACGGTATGCTTTTAAAGGGTGCACTCTTTTCCACCCCCCCCCCCCCCCCCAAAGGAGGGGGGGGCGATTTTTTGCTTCTAATAACACATGAGTCGTTACCTGGAAAAGAAAAACTTTGAGAAAGAGAACTAGTCAACTCAGCACATTAAACTAGTCTCCATAATATGTCATTCTATGGCACATCATAAGTGGTTTATGTTCTGAGACTGCCTATATGTTATTTTAAGGAAAACAAATGGATTTAGGAGATGAGAATGTACTAAAGAAAAGCTAAGATAAATGATGATGAGAGAGGCCAAAGGTGCTGGATTGGATTCCATCCATAACGCTGGATTTGATTTCATCCATAACGCTGGATTGGATTCCATCCATAATATTTTAACTTTTGCAAGGGTTGGACAGAATGGAAGAACAGACTGCGAGGCTTATGTAACGCATGACATACAAGGATGATGATGACTGCATACATGTTAATCATTGCTCAAAAGGTTAGACAGCAATCTTCACAAAACTGCATCTGACCTGATGATGCCAACAGAAACTGTCTCAACCACTGCATCATTGAGGATGTTGTTGAAAGGCCCTCTCCACAAATCTGGCGGCACTTTGTATACATGCAGGTCACATAACTGTTGGAAAACATAAGAGAAACAAAGTTAATTGCTGAATGTTGAATTAACAAAGTTATTTATCAGGTATCAACTATCTTATCACATAGGTAAAGTGACTAATTAAAATGACAGAAAACTGTTCTCAGTATATCAGTCAATAAGGCAAGAATTTAAAAAACATTAACTTGTAAGCATTTGAAGAAAATTGGTTGGCTCAGCAGTTAAAATGGTGGGCTCTCCAGGGCTAGATCTGGGTTTGATTTTTTGTAAGATGATGGACGCTTTTTTATTTTTTATTTTTATTTTGCTAGGAGCAAAATAGGTCGTATTTTATAAACACAAAAACAATTAAATACACATTCTAGAAAAACTATGAATGAAAAGATAATTACTAAAAACAATTATCTTTTCAAGCTGAAATATTTCTGCCACATTCATTCATTCATTCAGTAGCATGTCCCTCGCGGAACCTCGCTGCCATAACAACACTCCGGAAAACCTTCCTATCCTGAGCAAGATGTCCTGCGTCTGATACACCCATCTGGAGATCATCTGCCACATCCTGCACCCATCTTCTCCTTGGCCTTCCTCTTCCTCTCTTCCCAGGCATATACCCCTCCATTATTGTTCTCTCTAGACTTCCATGACGTTTCAAGTGACCAAAATATTTCAATTTTCTTTGTTTTATTGTCTTTACTAGCCAACCCTCTTCAATATTCAGCTCTTGAAGTATGGATGCATTTGTTCTTTTCTTTACCCAAGATATTCTTAAAACCTGTCTGTAACATTTATATTCAAATGCATTTATGCGCTGTTCCGCTTGTTTAGTAAGTGTCCATGTCTCACAGGCGTATGTTGCAATGGGAAAGATGCATGCTCTTAAAAATCTGACCTTTGTAATTCTATCTGTACAATTCCATAATTTATTCAGTTGTTTTAGTCTTTGAAGAGCAATTGATAGTCGCCGTTTAATTTCTTTCATTGTGTCACCATTGTTGGTAACCAGTGACCCAAGATATTCGAAATTTTCCACCACTTCCAATCTTTCCTCATTAACATATATTTCCTTCTCCATGGCAGTTTTGTTTGTATGCATTATCTTTGTTTTTGCTATGTTAAGAAATAAGTTATGATTTTCACTATTTCTTTGGAGTGAAGTTAATAAGTTTTCTAAACCATTTTGTGATGTTGATAGTAATACTGTATCATCAGCATAACGAATTTCTGGTATTTCATGACCACCGATGTTTAGGGCATCATATTGTTCCTTGTTTATATCATCTCCTACATTTCTCATTATATTTTCGGCGTACAGGTTGAACAAATACGGTGACAGCACACATCCCTGACGGACTCCTTGCTTGATGCCAAACCAGTCTGATGTCTCTCCATCTATTCTGACTGCTGCTTGTTGGTCTTGATAGAGCATTTTAATGAGCTGCACTATATGTGATGGAAAGCCCATATTCCTCATGATTTCCCAAAGCTTCTGATGTTGTACACAGTCAAATGCTTTTGAATAATCCACAAAACATAAGAACAGATTTACATTAAATTCTCTACACTTCTCTATTATTAAACGCATGTTGAATATATGATCTCTTGTTCCTCTTCCCTGTCTAAATCCAGCCTGAGCTACATTAATCTCTTCTTCCATTTTCTTATGCAGTCTTCTCATTATAATTTTTAGTAGAATTTTACTTGCATGACTGATCAGGGCAATAGTTCGATAGTTTGTACATAATTTCAGGTCACCCTTTTTTGGTATTGGAATGAAGATAGTTCTCTTCCAGTCTTTTGGCCAAATACCATATTTCCATATCTTTTCACATAATGCATGATAGATTTTTATGCTTTCTTCTCCTCCCCGCTTTAATCAATTCAGCTGGTATCTCGTCACATCCAGGTGATTTACCATTTTTCAGGCTCCTTATTGCCCATGAAATTTCATCTAATGAAGGTTCAGGTTCTGCCTCTACTGTTACTGGTTCATGTATATCATTCATATCCTCACTGTCATTCATATCATACATTCCGCTGCAGTATTCCTGCCACCTTCCTAGAATTTGTCTAGATTCTGTTAAAGTATTTCCCAACCTGTCACAAATAACATTTAACTGAGGTTGAAAATTTCTTGTCAATAACTTCATTTCCTTGAACATTTCGTAATCTCTTCCATTTTTATTATGCTGCTCTATCTGCCACATTAACAGACAGAATACTCGTTGCTGTCTTTCCCTCCACCTTTCCCTCCAGGGAAAGACAGCAAGAGGCAGACAACAATACAAGTGGGAGGACAACATCAACAGATTGACCAACAGCAGTCTAAGTGAGTGTGCAGCCATGACATGGGACAGCATGTCTGACAGCAGTTGCAGCCAACCTTTACGATGGAGACAGCGTGTGACTGATTGATTTTTTGTAGAGACTTAAACCAGACCACAGAGACGATCTCAGCTTGGACAGAGGGGGGCACAGGGAGTGGACATGACTGGTGGTTCATGAGACGGGAGGATGTAAACATTTTAGGTTTTCAGTTTTACTGTTTTTTGTTGTTGTTGTTGTTTGTTGTTTTTTTTTTTTTTATTATTCATGGTAATTATATCTGTTGCCTCTCAAAGCCCAACCCTACGTCCCCGTCGTGAGAGGCGGTAACAGGACAAAGTAGGCGATTGGGCGAAGTATGGTATGGTCTTGTGCCACGGGACCACAACGGTAGCCATTAGGTCATCCTGAGTCATCCCGAAACACCCTGGCCAACGTGGCTCTAGTGAAGTTGCGACAGGCCTAGCAAGCCGGCAATGGATTTAATACCGCTACAACAAGTACAGTGAGATATAAACGGACTGATCAAACGGCAGTTAATCATGGCAACGTTGAAGGACTACGAGACATAAAAGCGAATTACAAAAAGATAACATCAGATAAACTCTACAGCACCATGCTTTGTCCATGGTCGAAACAGCAAGAAGAGCACAAAGCAAGACCTTATATCTCCTTCCACACCCAAAGCGGTAATAGAGGACGTAAAGAAGAAGAATTCTATGTGTTTAACGTAAAGAAGGAGAAGAATTATATGTGTTTAACGTAAAGAAGGAGAAGAATTATATGTGTTTAACGTAAAGAAGGAGAAGAATTATATGTGTTTAACGTAAAGAAGGAGAAGAATTATATGTGTTTAACGTAAAGAAGGAGAAGAATTATATGTGTTTAACGTAAAGAAGGAGAAGAATTATATGTGTTTAACGTAAAGAAGGAGAAGAATTATATGTGTTTAACGTAAAGAAGGAGAAGAATTATATGTGTTTAACGTAAAGAAGGAGAAGAATTATATGTGTTTAACGTAAAGGAGAAGAATTATATGTGTTTACAAGGGCTTTCGATAACGCAAATGTCATCATATTCTCTCTCTCTCTTTCTCCCTCTCTCTCTCTTTCTCTCTCTCTCTCTCTCTCTCTCTCTCTCTCTCTCTCTCTCTCTCTCTCTTGCTAGTGAAGACGGGGTGGAAGAATGGATAGAAAGAAAGACAGAAATATAGACACACACATACACATAAACACGAACACATAAACACATACAGAGATTCAGTGAATCAGAAAGACAATTTACAAAAAGTGTTTAAATACATGAGGTAAAGAACTGGGTTTTCTGTTTAATGGGATAAATAAGGTGTGTGCACGTACGTGAGTTGAGTTGAGTCAATAAGTAACATCACAGCACTACCGGCATTCCCATGTCTACTCAGACCTCATCTTCAGCAGCCAGCGCAGAGTTCCAGTGCTGATGGTACCGGTCACAATCTCGTTATATGTCGGTCTTGCCTTTTCTCTGAGTGTAGTGAGCCGGCCAGACCCTCTGGTTACACCCAGGTGCCTCATTCTCTCCAGGCCAAAATAATCTTGTTTCTCTTCTGATTCCGTTGCTGGTTCCCAAAGGGCCTTGAGGACATCTGCCTTGTCATGTATCAATTCACCACCCAGCGGTGCAGATCAAGCCAAAATGTCTGCCTGTTTATTACCCACTACGCTGATATGTCCTGGAGAAAAGATCCAAAGTATGCTCACTACCCATGACCTTCCCAGTGAAGCTTGCCACTCTGCTCGGAGCAATCCTGTCTTCACCTTTCTCAGCATGCTTTCAGAGTCTGTTATAATTACGACAAGTGTATGCATCTTGCCCACTCGCCACCGAAAAGATGCAGTTACCGCCTCCACCTCTATTCTCAAGCTAGATTTTGTGACGTCGTATGCTAGGCTGTCTTGCACTAAAGATTTTCTATTGACTTTCGCTACGAACCCCCAGGCACTTCTCTTTCAATTCAACCTCACGCCAACTATTTAGATAATCAGTTCACCTGGGCGTGAATCAACTGGTGGACTTCACCACGGTATCACCCGCTGGCCACTCTCTGCACTTCCAGCCCAATGTGATCACAACCCTACAGGTCAGATTTGTCCGCTGGTACTCTGACCCACTCCTATCCTCGCCCAATCTTCTCCAGCATGCATACTTGTCTTCTGCTTGAGCCATCCACGATTTTCCCCTTTTCAGCCTCTGACCCTTACCAGCAGCAAAAGCTTTATACAGAGGGTGTTCTTTGTCTGCAGCTACTCTGAGGTACATGCGTGAGAGTAAGTGTACGCGCGCGCGCGTATGTGTGTGTAATGGAAAGTCAGTCCTTGTAACTTTTAGCTGCATAAGACGACAGCACAGTATTATATTTCATATTTCCCTTTAAATGACGTTGAAATCTTTTTCCGGTTTTTCATAGGGTTCATATCACATTTCCACTAGACTACAGAAATGAAACACAACCCAAATCGCGCGGCTATGATAAGGGAAGCAATTTCAAAGGGAAACAATCTCAAGTATGTCTAGTACATACGAACAGGGTTGGCACTGAGTCGAGGTACTGTTTTAAATATCAATTTCTTTTTCTTCTTCTGTTTCTTCTTCTTCTTCTTCTTCTTCTTCTTCTTCTTCTTCTTCTGCTGCTGCTGCTGCTGCTGCTGCTACTA